CATACACAGACTGCTGAGTCCATGCACACACACATACACAGACTGCGGAGTCCATACACACACACACGCAAACTGCTGAGTCCATACACACACACCCACACACCCACCCACTGCTGAGTCCATGCGCACACACACAGACTGCTATGTCCATACACACACACAGACTGCTATGTCCATACACACACACAGACCGCTGAGTCCATGCACACACAGACCGCTGAGTCCATGCACACACAGACCGCTGAGTCCATGCACACACAGACCGCTGAGTCCATGCACACACAGACCGCTGAGTCCATGCACACACACACACACACACACAGACTCAAGAGTCCATGCACACACACACACACACACACACATACACACACACAGACCGCTGAGTCCATACACACACAGACACACACACACACACACAGACTGGGTTGAGTCCATATACACATACACACAGACCGTGGGCTGGAGTCCATGCACACACACACACACACACACACACAGACTGCTGAGTCCATACACACACAGACACACACACACAGACTGCTGAGTCCATGCACACACACATACACACACACAGACTGCTGAGTCCATACACACACAGACACACACACACACACACAGACTGCTGAGTCCATACACACACACAGACACACACAGACTGCTGAGTCCATACACACACAGACACACACACAGACTGCTAAGTCCATACACACACACAGACACACACACAGACTGCTATGTCCATACACACACACAGACACACACACAGACTGCTGAGTCCATACACACACACAGACACACAGACTGCTGAGTCCATACACACACACAGACTGCTATGTCCATACACATACACACAGACTGCTGAGTCCATACACACACACAGACTGCTGAGTCCATACACACACACAGAGACTGCTGAGTCCATGCACACACACACACACACACACACACACAGACTGCTGAGTCCATACACACAGACTGCTATGTCCATACACACACACAGACACACACACACACAGACTGCTATGTCCATACACACACACACACATCAAGCCTACCTGTCACTGGAGCCTGTTGCTGGGGGTCAGACAGCCATCTTCTGGCCATCTTCTGGCAAGGTCTGCTGCTTTACTGGCGGGGGCGGGGCTTATTGCAGGAGGCGGGGCTTGGTTTGGTGGTGGTGCCGGGGAGCCTGTCAGTGCTCTCTCCGGCCCCAGCATCTCTGCACAAACAGCACCCAGCTCCTCTGGCCAGACTGCCCTGCATTCCCTCGGGCTGTAACAGACTGTTACAGTTCGAGGGAATAGAATTGAAGAACATGGCCAGCAAGTTGCCGGCATTTGGGGGGGGCACAGCATGATGTAGGGGGCCAGTGTTTGTGACTAAGTGGCTACTAAAATAAAATGGACATACCCCATATTGAATACCCTGGGTTGTCTACTTTAAAAAAATATGTGCATGTGAGGTGTGATTCAGAGATTTAGGACAGATAACAGTGTTATAATGTCACTATTGATACATTTTAAAAATATTTATTTTGAAACCGCAATTTCCTATTTGTACTTATAGCCCTATAACTTACACACAAAAAAAATCAAAAAAGCATGTAAACACTGGGTGTTTTTAAACTCAGGACAAAATTTTGAATCTATTTAGCAATTTTTTTTCATTAGCTTTTGTAGATAAGTAAAAGATTTTTTCAATTTTTCCACCATATTTTATTTTTTTCTTTAAAGTAAATTATATGACACGATACAAATAATGGTATGTAAAGAAAGCCATTCTTGTTCTGAAAAAAAACCAATATATAACTTGTATGGGAACAGTAAATGAGAGAGAGGAAAATTACAGCTAAACACAAACACCACAAAAGTGTTAAATCAGCTCTGGTCCTTAACGTACAACATGGACAAAACAGTCCGGTCCTCAAGGGGTTAAAACAAATGCACAAGTCTTTTAAGAATATCAATTTGTATGATACATTAAATGTCTCTATGTTTCTTTATACAGCTAGAATTCCAGATTTAAATTCCTTGGGGAAAAAAAAAAGTTTTTTATTTTTGTTAATATTTATTTTATTCATTTTATCAATTTTTTCTTCTTTTTTAGATATGGGTATCCTTGTTATTTTGAATAATATTATTTTTAATACTATTTTCAATATTTTTTGCCTTAAATATTTGCTGCAGATTACTATTTATTT